AAAACATTTTCTCTTTATAAAATTTTAAAAAGCGCCAGGGAGCCGCCTACGGCTTAACATAGATGGCTTCCTTCACGCCCCTCTCAAACCACCTGTCTTCTTTGTCCAAAATGTGAACATTCTGGTTATCAAAAGAATCTCAAACTCAACGCTATTTCTTACATTTTAAATTGAAAACTCTTCCTGGATGGAAGAGAAACGTCTTCAAAATTGGAAACTAAGTCCAGTGGATTGTTTTTGAACTTTTGTTGGAATGACTGAGAATCTGAAGCAGCATATCCCTTCATTGTTTCTCAATGTGGAAGTTCTCTCTCTGCATCTCACCTGTCCCCTGTGTGCCCCCCAGGGAGCAGTGTGGGGTAAGGCGTCTTGCTTTGGGACCCAGAGTTGAAGTCTGTGGGAATGAGTGGGACTGGGACTGGGACCCTAGGTGTGACGCTCTAACCACCAGGCCCCCACTTCCCCAAATGCAGCCCCCTGTCATGCAGTAAAAGCTGATGGTTGGAGGTGGCTGTGGCTCCTTGATGTTTGAAGGAGACGAAGGTTTTCCCTATAAAACCCAGAGCAGCTCTGAGAAGAGCCTGGATTGTGTTTGATATCTTTAATGTTGCTATATTGATGTAAATATTTAATTTCTTTGAGGTTGTTGTTAAATAATAACAGCTAAAATAGAACTATCCATTTGAGAGGATCACTGCTGCCACCCTCTGGCTCAGAGGGAAACTGCTTCTTCTGCAGCTTCCAGATGGGAACCAGGACTCTGCAGCCAGGGGTGACCAATGGGTGGCCAAGCCCTAAGCCCCGCCCCCTGGAGCTAAGGGTTTGGCCCTCCATCGGTTCTCTGGCCACCCTGTCAGAGGATCAGGATTATTGGTGGCCCCCAAACTGATGTGGGGCCCTGACCTCAGCTCAAAACAAAACTACTGCTGTGGCCCCCGAGCAGCAGAGATATTATCAGAAGATTAGAAAATGTGAGGTCCATGTTAGAGCTAACATGCGGGGGTAATGAGTGAGGGTGTGAAGGGTTGGAACAGGACTGTGGGCTGAGGAGACCTGCTACAGGGACAGGTCAGGACCCCACCAACAGCTGCAGGGCCTCCTCCAGCAGAACATTGCTGATTATCCTGTCTGATTAAAAGATCTTTTATTTGGATCTTGGTCAGTTGCCATTCCCTGCATCTAGGGCTGAAACAATCATTTATTTCAATAATCGTCAACTAATTGAGTCATTGATTAACCGTTAAAGGAGAAAAGAGACACGACTTTAGCTGACAGAGCAGGAATTATATCAAGATTGCATTTAAGATTAAAACAAACTTTTCCATCTGTCAATCTGCTCTATCCAGAACTCAAGTGGAAAAGTTTTAATTTCATTAAAAAATCCTCCTTAAAGGAAAAGTCTGATCAGCAGGAATAATCAATGGATCATTATTTATACCTGAAACTAATACGTTCACAGGGATTTAATGAATTTAGCATTAATCAGTAAGAAAAAATTTATTTTTCATTGCGATCACTGAGTCTGAGAGCGGCCATCTTTGTCCAAATCTAGTAGCCCCTCCCTCCTGCCATCTTCCAGCAGTGACGTCACGGTGCGGTAAGCCTAGCGCAATTCTCCGCCATTCTCCCCGCTTTGGAATCCATCGGGGAAAAGTGAAAAAAAAAAAGAGTTATTCCACCTTTCTGATTCCTGATCCTCCACGGACAGCCGATACCGCACCGTGACGTCACTAACCAGTAGGTGGCAGTAGTGTTCTTTGACAAACATGGATGC